CTGAAATCTCACGTCATGTATAAAATTCACATCTAGAACGGCCGTTCCCAAACCAGAACGACCCATTCTGGGGTTGCAATTAAACCCATAACGACCATATTTGGAACGACCCGTTCTCATCTCTGGAAGGGTCCGTTCTCATCTTTGGAACACCTCGTTCCAATTTAGGATTATAGGCCATTTTGGTGGTTTAGAACGGCCCGTTCCAGATTGGGAACGACCCGTTCTGGACTACCAAAAATAGGTCTTTTTAGCAGTTTGGAACGGTCCATTCTGGGCTACTAAATCACCCTCTAAAAATTATTAAATTACCCTCAATAAAAGTATAAAAATTGGAGTGTTACAGTTGTAGTGGAGACAAACTCACAAAGATTATGTAAGTGATTAATAAGTGAAATTTTGAGACACACATATAATTATTTTTTTTGTATCACTATTTTTTTTTTTATTTTCTTTGCCTATATTCCTCTTTTTTTTTTTTTTGTCATTATATTTTCTCAATAACATGCTTTTAGCTTTTATTATGCGAGTCTACACATACTATTGTGTAAAACTTGGAAAAACAAATATAATATTGAGTTACTTTGTATTTTTCGAAAAAAGAAATATGATATTGGAAAAATAAATGTCTATGAGAATTTGCTTTCTTTCACAACAATAATCATCGTCACAAACACAACAGTTTTTTTTTTTTACTTTATAATTACTGAAAAGTAAATTTTTGTTTTATTTTTATTTATAACCTATATAAAAGCTTGAGGGCATGTATATCAATAGGATTTGATCGAGGGATAAAATTAAAGGATTCTTGAATCTTTGTCAAGGACTATGTAAATAAAGATTCTATGAATTGCATAGAAATACCCTTCAAATATAATGTATCTATACTCAATAAAATTAGTATAAATAATAGTGAATTAAAGAGAAAAAGATGTTTTTAAATCATGTTTATTACAAGTATTAATTACTTTGATTTGGTTGAAATAAACAATGGAATTAAGTATTGAAGTGATTTTACATGTATATTATTTTTTTCCCCCTTCTTAGACAAGTAAGATTGAATAAAGTCAACTCTTTAAACATGAAGAACCAAAGAGACTTAAATAATAATTAAGAGATGGAAAACTTAAAAAACCCATGTTAGTATATTGGAATGAAGGATGAATTGATCCTTGTAACTCTATGCAGATACATTTATTAAAAAAAACTTAAATACTAAAATATTATTATTATAAATATTTTTAATGCCATGAGGCACTTACCTTCATGCTTCCCCGTAGAAGCCTTCTTAACTAAGCCCAAAGCCCCAAACCAAACCCACCCATATAAATAAGGATGTACTTGCACCGTTTGTATCCATCTTAGATTCCACGTCACAGTAAAATAATTCTTTTTGGGTTATAAAAGTGTCAAAATCCTAATCTTCCTTTCTTGTCGTGTGTCCCAAGTTGCTGTCCAAATTCGAAACTGTAAACTCGTTATCTCTGCTTTCAGCAAAAGAACGCTTCCAGTGTCTACTCAAAGACGGAAGCGTGATTCAAAGTTTCAATTTCAAACATTAATGAAACTAATTGACATGCCATTTTTCCCTTACCCAAATGCCTCTCCAACCAACCACCCCTTTTTTCTCTTTCCTATAAAAACAACGTTCCGTGGAGGCACACACACACACACACGAGGCGTGTGCACACAGAAAAAAAAAAAGGTCTCGTTTTTATGCCCAACACGCTGCGCAGTTTGCCCTGTTGCGTTGAGCCTCCAAAAGGGTCGTTGAGAAAATGGCTCAGTGGCAGGGTGATGCTGACGAGGGCATCGACTACATTTTCAAGATTGTCACGATTGGGGACTCGGGGGTTGGAAAATCTCAGCTTTTGAATCGCTTTGTGAAAAACGAATTCCACATGAAATCCAAACCCACAATTGGAGTTGAGTTTCTGACTAGGACGGTCGTCATGGATCATAAACTAGTCAAGGCACAGATTTGGGACACTGCTGGTCAAGAAAGGTCCAACATTTTTCCACTATGCATTCATTCTCATGATGAATTACATTTTTTTATTATGTATTTTTGATTAAGAATATGAATAACTGAGATCTGAAAATCTAAAAGTTGAGATCTGATCTTTTGAGAAACAAAAACCAGCGTAGTTTTTTAATACAAGCAATCCAGAAGATGCAAGTGGTGAATCATGGCCCTTCAACTACATGATATTCATCTAAATGTTTAGCAGTTGATGGCTTCTTGGTTGTATTGTCTCTGTTGTAGCATTAAGCTTCAACAGAATAGGGTGAGTTCGTGATGAGTTCTAAGCAAGGTTTTGAAAAACTGTACGTGACCACGATTTCAGCTGCATCTTCAAGGTTTTGGGGCTCTTTGGACCACAATTTTGATCACATTTATTCACAGTTTCCAGCAATGTCAAGGATTTCTTTGCGGTGAAACTATTGCAACCGCAATTTAAAACCTTGGTTTTAAGTTTTAACCATATATATAAAATTCTCCCTATAACCCTATGCACAGCATACCGAATTCACTGCACTGTGTACTACTTGATGAACCACGTATATACATAAAAACGCATAACCATGTACCATGTACCTACGATTTTAACTAGTCTGTCAATTTCCATGATTCTGTGTTTTATTCATTTTTATGGGTGTGGTTTATTTGGTTGCTGAAGTGTCCTTCAAATGCATGTCTATTTCATTTTTCCTGTGACAATGTTGGCATTCATGACAGGTACCAAGCAATTACAACTGCGTATTACCGGGGTGCAACTGGTGCGTTACTAGCATACGACATAACCAATCAGCAAACCTTTGACCATGTTGAAAAGTGGTTGGATGAGCTCCGGATACATGCGGATAAAAATATACTTGTCATGCTTGTTGGCAACAAATCTGACCTGAGTTCTATTCGAGCAGTGCCTATTGAGGTAGCCAGAGACTTTGCAAAGCAGGAAGGTCTCTTCTTTCTGGAGACATCGGCACTTGACTCCACCAATGTGGAATCAGCTTTCCTTGGTCTCCTCTCTCAAGTATACAGAACTGTCAGTAGGAAGCACATCCCTGTGGATGGACCTGAATCAAATTGGGATAAAGTAAACCTTGAACTTGATGGAACAAAAATTAGTGTCCCATTGCAAGAACCTGAATGCCAGAATGCTAATAGGAGATTCAATTGTTGCAGTATTATTTAGAATTTGTTTTCACCTAGGGCCACCTTTGTCTTGGGTAAGGACTATTTACCTCCCTCCCCCATGCTATTATGAGTTTTATATATACTTTGCCATTTATTTTTTCTTTTTACTGTATTTTACCCTCCAAGAGATAGTTGTTAGGCATAGTTTTGCAAACTCAAGAAGGATATGATGAATTTGAGTAGTCTGTTCAATGTATCTAGATGTGACTCCTTTGCCATGACTATTACACAAAGCAGCATCCCAAGGATGCAAATAGGACATCATTCTTAGTTATATGTTAGGAGTCTACATTGAGTAGAATATGAAGCTTAATATGGTACTTAAGCCTTGAGGCTCTCCTACCAAATGGACTAGTTTTTTGAGTCGGACTCTCGTTATATGCTTACTCATCATGAGACTCCTAACATTATACATGACAGGAAAATGTTATTGTTTAATATTATGAATGAACATGTTCTTGAAGCCAGATAAACAATGTATTTTACAATGGGTTTCGAAGTGAAATAATGGACGACTATTCGGTCGATGATAATGAACAAAGTTTGAGATCTCCTTGCTAAAAAGTTGTTATCTCTTAGGCACTAGATTTCTTATATTGTTGTCATTACCTACTACACTGATCTCAGCACATATCCATTGATTTGATCTTTAATATTCATGGAGGGTTTCTGTGTTATAAATTATAATTAGACCAACCTCATTGTTTTGTTTAGTAATATCTATCCTCCAACAAACCAGATGTGAATGAGGGTTGCAGAAGATAAAGCTTTTAATGAGAGTTTGTGGGAGACCTTCTTCATTAATATTAAATTTGTGAAATGTTTATGCGCCTATGCTGTAGATTAATGGGGTTTGCATTACTCTGAAATTAATGTTGATATATTTGCATTTGATGGCTCTCACTATTTTACCATCTACTTCTCGTCGATAAATTTATCATTCATAATTTAATCTCAATCATTTGTTAAATATTCAATGGTGAGGAAATCTTAAATAAACTCCTGTATATTTAACATGACATTTCTTTAGAAAATCTGCTAAACATGTATAATCAAGAAAATAAACACACAGAGAGTAAATACAATGTCTATTCCTCTATGTCCTATCTAACAAAACCTAATTAAGTAATCTGCTCCTTGGCAAGTGAATGTGCTGGTTGCATCATCATAGGCATAGCTATAAGCCTGAGGACAAGAAGCCTTGAACACCTTTGAATAACTTGTTGGCTGGCATTTCTGTGGGCTATTGAAGTTGCCAGTGCAACAATATTCCGGCTTGTTGAAAACCATACATGCACTCTTACAACCAACAATGTGGCTTTGGTTCCTCATCTCCAACCCACTGGGGCAGTTTCTGTTCAAATCCGACCGGCATGTAACAGTCTTACACTGCCCGGATCCCCCAGTGGGAAAGATTGACATTGGCAAGTTGTAACCATCAACAAGGCTAACATCATAAAAATCCCCTTCCTGGCTGTCTAGTGTAAACTCTGCTAGTGAAGCTGGTGGCGCACCACCAACACCACCACATTTAAGCTTGCCTCCACAGTCTCCTGTGATGCATGTTCCACTGCCAGAGCTATCAAAGGTGCATCCATGCCGCCCCCAGAAGCGGCCAGACCACCCTTTTGGTGCAGTGATGTTTATGGCCTTTCCAGGTTTTATCTCAATCCCATCATCAATGATTTGAGGTATTCCTGCTCCTGTTAGGACCCCAGGCCATATTGTGTCCCTACATCTATTTTGAAAAGTAAAAACTGTTGCATCCACTCCTGAAATTAAAAGAAAAATACCATAAGAGGTAGGTACATTCTAATAAAGCTATAGTAAATGTTTTGAAAACCAAACACCAAATGTGGTGTGTTGGAGAAACAGAACATGTAATTACAATTACCTAATGAGAAAAATATGAAAAGAAGGGAAAGCTGTTTCAATGCCACGAGAGGTGTCCGTTTTTGGTTTCTGATTTGCTAAATTCAGATTTTGTGAAAGTTTAACATTTGCATGAGCTAGGTGATACTTATGAGCGAGGGAAATTCGGAGGTTCAACAAACACAATCTTTATAAAATGGGAACAAGGTGAAGTTTGCTTGCTTGATATCATGACATCTGTAAAGTTTTTCATTGAAAGAATCAACAGAGTACCGATTTTTTATTTTTTAGGTGCTAAACTGTCCGAAAATTTCTCAACTAAAATCGATGAAAAGGGGACCAAGTTCTCTAGCTTGAAACTAAGACAAAATTATGTTCAAGTTCACCTAACTTGCTAGCCCTCGAACACATGCATACACCATAGTTTTTGGCCTTTTGACTTGAATAATAACTTTGATTGTGTTGTTGGCTAAAGTCTTTTGGTTAGGAAGAGGTAGATGATCAAATGGATGATCCACAATATAGGCCTCTAGTTTCAATGTTGTTGAGGCTTTCTTTTCTAATTGTGCGTTACGTATTGGAATAGAATGGTAAGTGAAGTATCCATCTTAGCTGGCATTTCAGCACAAAGTTGTTGCGTATGGATACTCCCTGGTTTTCGAAAGCAACAATGGGAACAAGGTGAAGTTTGCTTGCTTGATATCATGACATCTGTAAAGTTTTTCATTGAAAGAATCAACAGAGTACCGATTTTTTATTTTTTAGGTGCTAAACTGTCCGAAAATTTCTCAACTAAAATCGATGAAAAGGGGACCAAGTTCTCTAGCTTGAAACTAAGACAAAATTATGTTCAAGTTCACCTAACTTGCTAGCCCTCGAACACATGCATACACCATAGTTTTTGGCCTTTTGACTTGAATAATAACTTTGATTGTGTTGTTGGCTAAAGTCTTTTGGTTAGGAAGAGGTAGATGATCAAATGGATGATCCACAATATAGGCCTCTAGTTTCAATGTTGTTGAGGCTTTCTTTTCTAATTGTGCGTTACGTATTGGAATAGAATGGTAAGTGAAGTATCCATCTTAGCTGGCATTTCAGCACAAAGTTGTTGCGTATGGATACTCCCTGGTTTTCGAAAGCAACTTCATTATTTACATGAAAAAAATTCTTTATCAAACTTTAACCTTTGTATCCACTATTTCGATTCTTCACGAGTACAGAATCGCAATTGGAAGTATATTTTATTTACAAATATTTTCGGAATAACTATGAATAGATTTTTTTGTGAAACAAAAGATTATATAGATAATCTATTGTTATAATCGGTTATAATTTGAATGAATTTGTTTGGATAAACTTTTTAATAAATTATGTTTAAGATATTTAATTTTGTTCGATACAACAAAAATATTAACTATTACAAAATCATTTTAAAAATAAAAAAAAAGTTAGAAAATAATCTTAAGTTTTAAGAAGTGTAAAAGCAATTTATTTAACAATAAAATTATTTTCAAATTCCAACTATCATTTCAAACAAATAAATTATTTTGCAAATGTTACCACATGGATTGGATTCTCACACATTAGGTAACCCTCTCAATTTACTTTCAATTAGAAAATATATCTATAATTTCACTTGAAGTATCACAATTGTGTATGATCGACTTCTATTTATTGTTAAAGGTTCTCAACCATAACACTTTGCGGCCAAGGTAGAGGACCATAGAGATTATATAGATAACCACCTTCAAACAAACTATGCATGTTGGACTTAATCACATCATCAAAACACACAAATGCGGTTCACACTACTAGACCTCTCTCTAGGCAGACTTTCACACTACTAGACCTCTAACTAAACTTCTCAAATGACCAAGTATAGCTTAGATTTCATGTTGTTAAGTCATTGCTTAGATTTAACCCGCATCACACACATAACTCACAATCACAAATATAACTCACATTGCAAGTAACTTTTCATACAATATCTCAATTACGTAACTCTTTCATATAGAGCTATCAAAGTGGGTAACTTGACCTGACCCGATCTACCACAGGTTAAACAATAGGTGAGTCAACCCAATCAGACTCACCTATAGATGAGCTTAAAAAAAAACTCAACCCAACCCACTACAGGTTGATAGATTAAACGAGTTGATTCACTTAAATTTAAGAAAATATATAAAAAAAAATTATCAAACATTGTAAAAAAAAATACATATTATAATCTTATATTTTAAAATTATAACTATGTTAACAAATAGGACAAATAAAATGTAAAAAAAAAAATAGACATCATCGACAACCAACTTAATCAACTTATAAAATCAAACTTGTTACATAAAATATTGACAAATAATATCAAATTGACACTAATTATCATAATTCATATCTAGTATGTACAAAATTTAATTAATGGTACAAATGTATAATCACATAAATTAACATTTGGAAACCTAAAAAATAAAATAAAAAATATCTAGGCGAGTCAACTCATGAGGCAATCCAGCTCACCCTGAGTTGGCTTGTGGTGAGTTAGGTTACAAGTAAGCCTAGCCAAGTTTTTCTTACAATTGGAATAGGCCAAAAAAATTTAGCCCAATTCGGCTCAAACCCGCATGGACTGGGTTGGATCACGGGTTTTGAGCCATTATGACAACTCTACTTTCATATGTATTACTCAATTGTATAGGTATCTGATCACACAACATACCCATCATAAACTCCTACACATACTTAGCTCAGCTACAGGCACAAATATCTAAATTGCACATCACACATCACAACACAATAATTCATCACATAACATCTCAAACTCATAACTTTAACTATTAATACTAGAGGTAGATATTTATATTGGATGGACCATTATAAGAATACTTCATAATATTTTATACGAGTATCATAAATGTTTCTCATGACAACTATAGTAAAGTAGTTTTTTGACTTTAAGTCACTATGATTTTTGCATGTAGGAGTTGTAGCCTTTAATGTTATCAGATATTATTTGTAAGAAGATAATTATAAATATAGTTAATTGGGCATGAAATGAATCATGTGAGGGGTGTGAGTGATATAGAGAAAATTCACCCCTCTCGCATAATAGGAGATGTGTCTTGGACCAGTCCATAAAGTAAGATGTGAAATATGTGTAACTACTTTGGAATGGACCAATATTGAATATTAGGACTATTCATGTTTGAACGTTTATTTGGGTATCAAAAAACATGATTGAATTTAATGAGAATAATAAGTTTATATCTCATGTTCAATCAAATGCATTTGGACGAGGGGACATATTACTATAATAGTTATGGTAGTGAAATCGAATCATTGATTTATTTTTATTTAATTACGCAAAAAGGATGCATTACTAGATGTTAGTCTGTATATATAATATTTAATATAAATATATTCAATATTATTTCTATTAAGTGAGAACCTATAAGGTCACACATATAGAATAAATGTTTAAGGTAAAGTCATTAAATTAAATATGATTTAATTTAAGGATCACTTAATTAATTAGAAGCATATTTAATTAAATGTGATTCAATTAAATAACAAGAATTTCAGTTTGTATTGGATAATCCCATCAACGAGGCAAATTAGGTCAACAAGAGGCTATTAATATACAGGTTAACTTAATCATACCTAGGATATTTTCTAAGAGAGAAAAATACAGAGGAGTCTTTGAGAGGTTTGTGAGAGGCACAAATCCCTAACCTTGTCCACAAGTGGCTAGCACTAAAATCTCATCCTCTAGGTTGCTCATGTGAATTGAGTAAAGGCACCATACCCTTTAGTGTTCAGTGATCAAAAGAAAGAAGATGATCATCCTTCAACCACATATATGGACTCACCAAAAGGCATAAAGTGTGCTATAAAGATAAAACCCGAAACCTTTAGTGTGGTTCTTACATTTAGTGTGATTTGTGAGAAAGGAGTTTTCCACATATGGGTTCTTTTTGATTTAAAATTGTTTTTGAAAATTACTCATGAAATCCTAACAATTATGTTATGATTTGAATAAGGGCATAGCCTATAGATGTAGGATTCTCCATATGAGACTTGTGACATCATGTGCATCCTTGTGTGATCATGTATTATACCATGATGATAGTTTTAAGAAAATGCTTAATGAACCTAGTTGATGGAGGTTATAGAAAATTCTTTACTTTGACCTTAAGAAGATCACATTTGGTGAGGAAATTCTAATGATCCATGTTAATCCATGTGAGTTGAGGCATGTATGTGGACTAATCACTGAGTATATCATACTAGTAGAGAGTGTTAGTGACAATCATATCTTATTAAGAACGAATCATTGGCTAAATGTACTCGATCCATTTTTTAATATTTTTGATTTACTACCACATACATATATGATAACAAAAAAAAAAAAAGGAAATTACATTGCATGTGTTTGGACAACTGTTGAGAAATATTTTATTAAACTAAAAATAACATAGAAGAAACAAAAGATACATATGAACATGCATTATGCAAAAAATAAATTAATATACATGGAAACATATTATAAAAGGAAATTGTTACAATGTATTAAACTTAATGTCTCGCGCCCTTTCTCAACGTGTTTCTAAATCCTTTGATCAAGACATCATGACATAATATAATATAACAGTGTATAAAACTCAAGTTGAAGTCATATTCCTTGAAAATGTTTAACTTCATGCGATGCAAAAACGAACGCTAAAATGAAACATGTGTTACCATCCTTTATATAAAATATGACCCAACAAGAAGGTTTGCTTATCATACTAAAATCCACCTCTCTTGAAAATGTTTTACTTTATGTAATGCATCAAGAATAAAATGTGACGCGCTACTATCCTAAAGTACTTCTTTGACGCAAGTTCCTCTAGGATATAATAAGAAC